TGGTTACGAATCGGGCTGCTAACCTCAGGGTCAGAAGTTCGAAACTACCAGCTGTTCCCTGGGAGAAAGATGAAGCTTTCTGCTCCCGGAAGGATTTACAGCCTCGGAAACCCTACGCAGGGTTACTATGAGTCGGAACTGACGCCACGGTACTTAACAACAACAACAACAACAATCTTTATGAAAGCAGATTGCCTGGTCTTTCTCCCACCAAGCACTGGGTTTGCTCAAAACACTAACCTTTTGGTTAACAGTTCAGCTTTTAACTGCTATGCCACCAGCCTCCTCCTAAACAAAGTAGGAACTTGCAAATTTCATCAAGTATTTTCAGATTCTTCAGCACATTAACCACTACACTTGTTTTTGTCTTAAAAGAAGGTAAGATATTATAGTAAGTGTATCAATGTTTTATAGGAAAATAAAAACTCAACTCATCCAAGCAATTTCAAATGCCCACCAAATAGTTTGTAATCACAGTTGAACCCAAAGACCTATCTCATTCATGTCCCAACCAGGACCTGCTAGAGGACCAAATGAAAATGTTTATAAAATATTTTACAAGAAAAGTATCTTATTTTTGTCTAACTTACAAATTTTGAATTTCTTTTTTTTTTAAACTTGAAAAATAAATGGCAATGACTTCAAAGTTCAGACAGTACAAGACAGACTTTTGTTCAAGGCTTGCTCTGTAGAGAAATGGAGAAAATATTTCAGGACAGATAAGTTCCTCACTAGGGGAAAAAGGAGGGCAGTCACCAATAAAATGACATTTTAGAAGAATGAAAGCATTTGATTTTCTTAATCATAAAGCATTTGGTTAAGTTAAAGGTTCTTTAGCTATAAGTCTACAATTTTTATTGAAGTATGAAACTTAATTTAATTTTAGGAAATGGAATTTTTTAAAAAAAAATGAGTGAAAGCAAATCAGGAGACTCAGTCATACTTTATCCATGCTTCTTCTCCCCTATTCCACCTTCCAATAGTAGGTGAAAAATAAATGAATTTCTTTAATTGACCTTTTATTACCAAGTAACTCTGGACTTTTTTGGTATTCTCTGTTATTCAAAAATTAAATAGACCACATCCTGACAATTTATAAGACAAAGATGGTACTTTAATCAAATTTTGATAAAGTAAACTTTGAGGCTTTTAAAATGTGATAAAAGTATAAACAAAAGTATGAAATGATCCTGTCAGATTGCTGTTGATTAATGCATCATGAGATCTTGTGTGCACCTGTTTCGTTTTTGTTTAAAAGCAAAGAGCAACATTACAACACGTGAACCAGGGTGGCAGTGTAGTGGGAGGGAACATAAAACAGAGTGAAGAAAGCTTCAGAAACAATTTCCTCAACACAGAAAAGAATATAACCCTCTTAACTAGGAGCCAGGTAATTTGCAAGAGAGCCTGAGAGAGACCTGCAGGAAGCCTGAGACCCAAGTATGCCACATCGGGCATGCTTGCTCCTATACAGAAGATAAAATCATCACTTGATGTACGAGAGTTGCAGCCCCTTGTCTTAGATCACTTTGAGAAGCAGTTCTGGCAGCAGAGAATGTAGGTGTGTTCCACTAGACTGAATGAAACAGAGCTTAAAATATGTTTAGTGTCTGATAAGAACACTACTCTATTCAAGCTCTCATTTAATGTTGGACTTTCTGTTTTGTTTTTAAAGAAAAATGTTTTACAAGGACAGCATGAAGCGGACAAAATCTGGAGCAAAGAAGGATTTTATGCTGTTGTCATTTTTCTCAGCATCTTTGTGATTATAGTAACCTGTCTGATGGTAAGTTTGCTTTTTTATATGTTGTATCCTTTGCTGAGCCCACTGCTTAATATTAGAGGCTGCATTGCCATTGAAATGAATGTGGGCAAGACTGGTGGTAGAATTAAGACTCTGCATTCTGTTACGTAGGGAATATTTCATACTGTACAGAGTGAGTGCTAAAGAAAAGCCTATGGAATTAGAGACGCACAATGACACAGTAAGGCTGTAATTGCAAGGAGGCTTCTTTCTAGTAACTTGATCAACCCTAAATGTGAAGCTTTAGAAAGTGATTTACTGAGGTCACTGATGCCCCCAAAGTCATTTCATTCTCCTGAGCGCTCTGGGCTTACTTTATTACCTCTTTTATACCATCTTTTTGAAACTCAGGAGGAAAAAAGGGGAATATGTTTTATGATTATACTTACTCCCCAAGGAATGGTTGATATCCTGATTTCTGAAGAGACTTGAAAGCATTCTACAAAATGCCAGGCTTGAAAAGGAGGCGAGGAGGTGGGTGGGAAAGATTTATAGGTTCCAAGGCTTAACAATCCACTACCAACTAATTTTTTTCAATGACCGAATAATAGAAAATGTATATATTACAATAGCTCTGTAAGTCACAAATCTGTGGTTTTTAACCACATATTTCTAGTTAATAAATAGAACCAAAAATCAGCCTAAACTCTCTAAATGAGTCCCTGTTCTCTGGTATTGAACAAGTTAACAGTTACCTGTCAAGTAGAATGACAGTTATTTTCTAATCTTTTTGCAAAATTTTTGATGTAACATAATACTGGCAGTTGACAAATGGGTTTTAATATGTTTTTTCCTGTAAGCTATGCTCTTTTTAATTTGGTACATTTTTTACAATGATCCTTCCTTAGTTTTCAAATGCCCTAAAAAGACATCATGGTGCTTTTTCTCTCTGCAATCAACTGTATTGCTCAGTATCTTATTTGATTTTGTTCGTTTGTGCTCACCTTTCTGGGAAGGTGTTTCTATTAGAAATATTAGGACTCTAGTATGGCCTTTCCAGACTAGAGTCCTAATATTTCTAACAGAAACTGGAAAGGTGGAGTCCTGGTGTGGCGCTGTGGGCTATGTGTCAGACTGCAAAGTCCTTTGAACTGCAAGGTCGGTGGTTCAAGCTCACCAGCTGCTCCTTGGAAACCCTATATATGGGTCGGAATTGACTTAATGGCACTTAACTACAACAACAGTCTGGAAAGGCAGAGGCTGAATGGTCTAAGCTTGAAGGATATGAAACCATTAAGGCCATGAATAAGGTGAATATGGACACATTTGTTAGAGAACAAATTACAGGAAGTAACAAAAACACCCTAAAACTTCCATCATAATGGTGCTAACTGTGAATTCAGGAGTATCTTTATGGTTCGGGTATTAAGATAAAAGTTAGATATTTTTAAATTATGCCACAATAAACAAAAGAATAAAATTGAGTACGGAAATAGAATGCTTATATTTTAAATGGTGAAACTTTGGAAAATAAAGAGTTTTAATGAGAGGATTCTGTGGAGGATACTGGAAGTTTTATGGAAATCGTAGCACACATTTTTTGTGTTTTAGAGGGGATGGTTCCTTGATATGCTTAATTTTACTTCCAAATATGCAATTCCACTTTTCCTTTATACAGGAAATCTCTCGGATACTGTTCTATTTCTTGTCAGTCACAGTGTTTTCTGTGGGATGAAGGGAAATATGGAAAGGGGTAAAGAGAACATATTGGGGCTTTGAAAGAGGGTAAATTGATTAAGACTCAAAAGACCAAAGGCAAGGACAAAAGGAGGAAAGTGGAAAGTAGATTCCTGAGCAGCCTGTAAATGCTATTGTTGTTGTTAAATGCCATTGAGTCGGTTCTGACTCATAGCAACACTCTGTACAACAGAACCAAGCATTGCCCGGTCCATCCTCACAATACAATTGTTGCTGTGTTTAAGCTCATTGTAGCAGCCACTGCGTCAATCCATCTCATTAAGAGTCTTCCTCTTTACTGAACTATTTTACTAAGGATGCTGTTCTTCTTCAGGAACAGGTCCCGACTGATAACATGTCCAAAGTATATGAGACAAAGGCTTGCCCTCCTTGCTTCTAAGGAGCATTTTGGCTGTATATCTTCTAAGATAGTAGAGGGTAGAAAGAGGTAGGGCAGAATTTTGCTATATAAGATATGTTTTGAGAGTCCACATTTGTAACTCAGGGAGTACCTGTGTATCCATCCCAATCCCAAAACCAAACCAGTTGCCACCGAGTAGATTCTGACTCATAGTAACCCCGTGTGTCATAGTGGAACTGCGCTCCATAGAGATTTCATGGCTGTGTGGCCTTTCAGAAGCAGAGCTCCACACCTTTTCCCTCCAAAATGTCTCTGTTGTCATGTGCTGTGGAGTCGGTTCCAATTCACAGTGACCCTGTATAGGGTTTCCGAGGCTATAAATGTTTATGGGAGCAGAAAGCCTCATCTTTCTCCTGCAGAATGGCTGGTAGTTTCGAACTGCCAACCTTGCTACCAGATGTCTACCAGATGTCTCTAGATGGATTCAAACCACCAACCTTTTCATTAGTAACTGTGCCTTAACCACTCACACCCCTGAGACTCCTGTGTTTCCAACAAGATAAATCCCTATGTGTACACTAGTCTCATGTAGCAAGGGAACTTGAATACCCATAGCTTCCTCACCAATTGGGGTCAGGGGACAATTCTTCTTTTCCCAATATCTGCAAAACACCAATGTGAAGGTCAGAAACCTAGATAAAAGTCTGTTCTAATGCTATTAGAGCAATTAAAATAAAGAATATCTAAAAAATACATGATTGCTCTCTCTTGGGGTGGTTGTTGTTGTTGTTAAGTGCCATCAAGTTGGTTCCAACTCATGAGACCATGTATAGGGTTTCCTAGGAGCAACTGGTGAGCTTGAACCACTGACCTGCAGTCCAAATCAAACTTGCAGCCCAGCACATTAAACCATAGCACCATATCAGGACTCCTCTGGGTTGGTGGTGGTAGTGTGGTGTGCCGTGAAGTCGGTTCCGACCCTGTACAGGGTTTCCGAGGCTGCAAATCTTTATGAGAGCAGAAAGTCTCATCTTTCTCCCACAGAACGGCTGATAGTTTCGAACTGCTGACGTTTAGTTTAGCAGCCCAATTCATAACCACTACGCTACTAGAAAGGGGACAGAAAGAAAAATTAAATTAATTTTTTGAAACTCAAATATGATGAATGCCTTGAAGAAGATAACATATAGTGTGAGTAAGTAGAGCAGACATTTGAAACATTTCAGCTATGACCTAAATGATAGCTGTGAACAGAGATGAAAATATGAGAAAAGGACCTCCTAGGTCTGAGATGGGAATAAGCTTTGCCTTATTCCCTGGATGTTGCAAGCAGTTAACATGCTGACCAAAATGTTGACCGTTCAAATCCACCCAAATTTGTCTCAGAAGAAAGGTCTAGCAATCTGCTCCCGAAATATGTCCTTCCATTGAAAACCCTAGGGAGCACATTGTACTCTGATACATATGATGTCATCCTTAGTCAGAGTTGACTCAAAGGAACAACTCATGGTGATCTGAGTTCAAAAAGAAAGTCAGGAGGAAATGCTAAAGGATAAGGGGAAACCAGAGGGTGAGGAGAAGCCAAAAGAAGGAAAACCAGTGAGTGAAACAAGGGCTGCAGGAAAGCGCCCAGCTCAGGATAACATACCCAGGAAAGCAAAAAGAAAAACAAACAAAGGGCTGGCTGAGTACCTCAAGGAGTATAAGGAGGCCATACATGATATGCATTTGAGCAATGAGGAAATGATAAGAGAGTTAGATGAGATGGCTAGGGTAGAAGACGAGGTGAAAAAATCCAAACAGAAATTGGGGGGATTTATGTGGATGCAAAGAAGTTTACAGAATCCCTTCCACCCTAGGGGCCCAAGGGAACTTAGGGGTGGCTGCAGGACCCAACAAAGAGGCTTTGAAGACATTCCTTATGTGTAGTGCCTTTGAGTTCTGCTTATGTTTTGACTGATTAGAACAACATCAACCCTGCTTTCTTATTTCTTGCTTTTCCCTGGCAGACATTTGGTCAGGCTCTGTGCTTTAACCTTATGCTGATACTTGCCTTTAGGCATCCCTCTAGGTACCAATAGCCTTTTGACCCAACTACAGCCTCTGTGTTTCAGTAGAGAATTTTCACCCAAAGCATGGGGTAAAAAATGTTTATGGTGCATTGTAAAATTAAAAACAGTTTGCAGAACCATAAAAAAAAGAAGGTCAGAAGTCAAGTGTTTTGAGCAAGGAGAGGGCCTTGTGATCTGATCTCTGCGTTGAAATGATCACATTCTCTGTTGTCTGGAGAACACTTGCAACACAGGATGGAATGACCTATGAGAGCAAAAAGACCATGGCAGAAACCATTAGAATGGATGAGAAAGATGACAATGACTCGGCGTAGTGGGGGAGGGAGGGGAAGTAGCAGTAGCACAGAAAGAAAGGAATGACTAGAAATTTATTTGAAGGTGGAACTGACAAGACTTACTTTGTTCTGATTTGGAAGGACAGGGAAATTTAAGAAGTCAAAATGACTCTAAGGTTCTTTGTCTTGATTACTTAGGAGGTAAGGCTCCTAATCCCTGGGAGGAGAAAGATATGGGGGAAGGAGTAGTGAGAGGGAAGTAACATTTTTTATTTGAATTCAAATCGTTGTTAAAGGAATGAATGAAAGTAGAATGATGGATTTCAAACAGCCTCTTGAATTTTTATATGAAAAGTGTCAAAAAAGTAACTGGCAAATGAGCAGTACATAGAAAGGAATTGATAGTGAAAGGAAAATAGATCCAATGCTGACTTACCACTGACAAGTCAAGAGTTCACATTCTTGGGGCCATGGCAAATGTGATTCTCTAAGATAAGCTTGTCTTTGTAAATGTTCAAATGGTTTTGATAATGATCCTGATTGAAATAAGGTGGGTTTTTTTTTTTAAGTTGAATATGTAAGTAATAGTCATTCTATAACTTTTGTGATTCTCCGACACATATACACGCAATTCTGTTTTCCATAATTTTGTTGATTCTATGGGAAAGGAAAAAGCTAGAACTCAGAATTTTGCTTCTGGCATTAATTATATTTATGAAAGATCAAATACTGTTATTTGTACCAGTCTTCCTACACACCACAGAAATGAAAAGCATGTGCTTTCATTATGAAATTATATAGGTAAATTGTTGTAATGGAGAACTACAAGTACTATGTAACAATAACTTAAGACTTGGTTACATTTTTGAAATGTAGCACATTGTTTACTTTCCTTAAAATAAAAAAAAAATAAAAAAATGTTTTTAATGTTGCCAAGCATAAAATTAGACAGGCATGACATTTTCAAATGTGTGACTTATTTAGCACCTCTCAAATGTGAATGTAGAGTGGGTGGAGCAGCAAATAGACAAATACAATTTTCCAAGAAAAAAATGTGTGGGCAACTTCCAATCCATTCAGTCTGTTTTGAGAAAATCTATTAGTAAGAAGCTTTAGTTCTTAAACTTGAATAAATAATAGATAGATTGCCATTTATCATCTGAATTAGATATTCAAATGGACTTAGAAGTTTGTTAACTACTGAAAAGGTATTTATGACATGCTGGAAGAGAAGTCTAGATGCTGGAATCCTACATTGAAACACAGTTTTAGAAAACTGCTTAAGAACAGCTATTGGGTCAGTAAAATCTCTGACATGGAAGACACATGTTGTTAAGTGCTGTCAAGTCGGTTCCAACTCATAGTGATCCTGTAAAGGGTTCCCAAGGAGGGGTTGGTGGGTTTGAACCACTGACCTTGCAATTAGCTGTCCAATGCTTATCCTTCAGCACCATACCAGGTCTTCTGGAAGACCCATAGAAAAGTCATTTTATGTGATATATATAGTTTCTCTAGTTACAGTATAGCTGTTGTTGTTATTAAGTGCCATCAAGTCAGTTACAACTCAAAGCAACCCAGTGTAGGGTTTCCAAGTAGTGTCTGGTGGGTTTGAAACACCAACCTTCTGGTTAACAGTCCAGTGCTTATCCTACAGTGCCACACTTATCCTACAGTGTAGTAGAAGCAGGAAATCATTAATTATTTGAAGATCACCTGCAATAGTTTAAATAGTTAAATTTTTCTAATTTGGTATATATAATCCCTAGGGATTAAAGTAAACAGGATTAGATTTCCAGAACCATTTTCCAAGGTAGATAATGTCTAAAAGTAATTTTCAATCTTCTTCTGGAGTCATAAAAACCATTTTGCTAAAAATACCTGCCTTTCCTAATAATAATAATAAAACAATAATGAGTAATATTTTCCATTTATTGCACACTTACCTTCTACTTTATAATGTATTTTAAGTGTCCTTATTAAACTGCAGAAAAACCTATCATTCAGAGATGATAAGTAACTTCACCAAGAACATACAAAGGCAGGAGTGTGAGGAGGGAGGTAGGGGAGGGAGAGAGGAAGGTGCTGGGCCTCAAATCCAAATCTGACTGGATTAAAAATCTGAGCTCTTTACTGTGAGTCCATGTATAAAGGAGTCAAACTGTGGTTTCTTTGCTTGCTAACACTATTTTATGAACAACATGCCCAGTAATAGACGAGAATGGTTGTATTAATCAGAAACATTCCACCTAGGCACCCATTTAACACTATACTGGGTATTGTTTTTCTACACCTTCCTCCTCTGCCTGGTGGCACTGCTGAATAAACACTGGACTGATAACTGCAAAATTGGCAATTCAAAACCATCTGCCACATCATGGTAGAAATGTGAGGCTTTCTACTCCTCTATGCAGATTTACAGCCTGGAAAACCCTATCCAGGGTGGCTGTGGGTCAGAAATATCTCAGTGGCTGTAGGTTTGGATTTGTTGTCTCTTCTGCAAACTTTGTGGACAGGACTCTGTACTACCTTTGTATCTCCAAGGTCTAGTTTCTGGAATGTAGTAGAGATGTATTCATGCTTAATACTCTTGGTGTGGTACTATAGGATAAGCACTGGACTACTAGCCACAAAGTGGGCAGTTCAAACCTATGAGCTGCTCCTCAGAAACCTTATATATGGTCACAAACAGTAGGAACCAACTCGACGGCACTTAACAACAACAGTACATTTTTTAAAAAATTAAAAACACTGGAAAATGAATCAATGAACTCTTTCAGAACTAACTGTAAAATACTACAAAAGAAAATGCTATTGGCTACTAATTGTTAAGGAGCTCTGGTAGCACAGTGTTTACAAGTTGGGCTGCTCAAGGTCAACAGTTTAAATGAAACTACCAGCCATTCCACCAAAGAAAGAGCTTTCTGCTCCCGTAAAGATTCACAGGCTCGGAAATCCTATATAATGTTGCTAATAGTTGGCAGAGACTCCACAGCACACTACCACCAATTGTTAAGTGGCATGATTTTTAAATTTGTACATATTCTAATACAAATAGAATGTTTTAAGCATTACTTGATAATGGTATTTTCAACTGAAAATTAGAAACTGCAGAAGAGCTTTATAGAATTGTTTTTAGCTTCCTCCCGTTTCTTTGTTTCTCAGGTTTTCTTCTTCCTGCTTTTATTCTCTCTTGTCATAGTTTGAATTTGCAGCTCCTCGCGTTCACTATTCCTTTCTCTTTTCCTTTGTCAATTGATCTGTTGACTTTATATCGCATCCCACTCTTAAAGACTAAGGACAAAAATTAGCTTGTCATTGTTTTTACAGCAAGCTTTTAGGGTTAAAATAAAGTGAATTCACATAAAGAAGTACACTATGTCCCAGAACTCTCTGTCACACTTTCCAGAGGGCTTGGGAAAGAGGTTGAGACAAAGGATGTGAGAATTTGGAAAAGGCAATGGAATTGCATGATCACCAGCCCTGGAAATCAGGAAACCTGGATTCTAGAGTAAACTTGCATAAGTCATTCAATGATTCTATACTTAAATGTGAAATGAGGAGATTTTATGAAATGGTTTTTAAGTTCATATAGCAGCACTACTGACATTTTGTTTCTTTGTTTGGGGTGTCTATCCTATATATTGTAAGGAGCTCTGGTAGTGTAGTGGTTACGAATCGGGCTGCGAACCTTAAGGTCAGCAGTTCGAAACTACCAGCTGTTCCACTGGAGAAAGATGAGACTTTTTGCTCCCGTAAAGATTTACAGCCTTGGAAACCCTGTACAGGGTCGCTATGAGTCAGAACCGACTCCACGGCACATCATGATGATACGACGATCCTGTATATTGTAAGGAGCTCTGTTAGCATTGTGGTTACGAGCCAGGCTGCTAACTTCAAGGTCAGCAGTTAAAAACTGTTACGTGGGAAAAAGATGAGGCTTTCTGCTCCTGTAAAGATTTACAACCTCAGAAATCCTATACAGGGTTGTTACATGTCGGAACTGACTCCACCGCACATAACCACCACCACCATGCTGTATACTATAGCGTGTTAGCAGCATCCCAGGCCTCTACTCACTAGCTGCCAATAGCACACCCTTCCAATTACACCAAAATTGTCTTCAAACATTGTCAAATGTCCTCTGAAGGGCAAAATCCCTACAATTGAGAATGGTCTTATTACTTAACCTTATGAAGGGTCCCTAGTGGCATAGCAGTTTAAGCACTAGTTGCTAATCAAAAGGCTGGTAACTCAAAGCCACCAGTGGTTACATTGGAGAAAGACCTGGTGATCTATGCCCGTAAAGATTACAACGTAGAAAGCCCTACAGAGGAGAGTTCTAACTCTTTCCTACATGATTGCTGTGAGTCACAATCAGCTTGACAGCTCATGACAACATGGCAATTGTCCTTTCACCTTGTAGCAAACTCTTCAAATTATTTCATAGTTTTTCAGCCTAATCTCTCTGCAGACTCCTGGTGTGGTACTGTAGGATAAGAACTGGACTGCAAACTATAAGGTCAGTGGTTCTAACCCACTAGCTGCTTCTCAGAAACCCTGTGCAGGATCGCTCTAAGTAGGA